TAAAGTGATTTACAGTGGAAGTTTGTTTTTACCTTTGTAATGGCATTTTTCCTAACTTTATTAAAAGTACGTAATCTTTTGTCAAATTTTTTTTTAATTATATTTTATAAGCTTTTTAAAAATTCTTATTAAAACCACAGAATAAGAACAAGTAGAATAAGAAGAATAAGTTACTAATCAAATGAAATCAGTATTAAAATTAATTTGTACAGAGGTGGCCAAAAGTGGCATGTAGGTGTATTTTCAGACATTTAATGAGGATCAGAGGTGGCATGAGTGCAATTAAATCCATAAATTCATGTTAAGATTAATGTTTTAAAAAATGTTGAATATAGAAATGTTAAATGATTTAAAGAACTGAAAAGATACTTTAAAAATGAAACAAACTGCCAGCAGGTGGCGACAAGTCACTGCTTTTATCACTGAATCATTCATTCAATTGATTCATTCGAACAGCTGATTCATTCAGGAATGAAGCAATGGACAGTATTTATGAATGGGTAATCATGAATCACTGACTCACAAGATTTGTTTAAAAATGCAGTTCATTCATAAACGAGACACTGCTGTGTTTAAATGGAGATGCGCAGCGGCTGAGCTGTGACTTTTTCAAACTATTTTCGATGACGAAATAGAGCAAAATCAGACAATAGTGTTATAGTCAGACAATGTAAGTCACTTAATATTAACTTCTTGTCTATTGAACTGTTGTATTAAATCAGTATCACATTTACAAACTCCCTTAAAAATCATTAAAAGCAGTCACTCATCTTAACTCATCGCGATCTCACATTTATAATCAACGAAGCTCTCTACACTGCACAATGAATCTCTTATTTACACCCTGTCTACACTTTGCTTATGAAAGGATTCATGAGATAGGTCTGTGATACATTACTCAACGCTGCAAAAACACGTAGAAAGCTTTGAAGCTCCCCTCAGCGATCACAATCACAAATATGATGAAGATCTTGTCAGTCGCACTGGTGCTCCTAAATATTTTTTCATAGTCGCACGCAGTAGTTTTCAGTCGCGACTGAAATGGTCGCACTGTAGAGCCCTGTGGTGACATAGCTACATTACAGAAATAATGTGAGGACTACAAATGAGGCGTTTAAGACGTGTTTCCTGTTGAAACAATTAACTCCCTTTTAACTCTGTAGATTGTTTGCATGCACAAACAGCTATATTACATAGTACAGGTAAAGTAACAAAGCATAATAGGTCATCTATAAAATAAATAAATAAATAGAAAATAAATAAATAACATCCGTTGGCCAGCACACTGTGTGCCAAGCATGACCACCCTCAGGTTTGCTACTGACCAGAGAGATGAATAATACTTAATTTAATGAACATAAAAGTATTTAACTATAGGTAAGCGGATGATTCAAAATGAACTCAGAATGCATTTACAGAATCGGTCAGCTGTCATATATAATATTGTGGGGCTGAGAAAAGTATACAAAATGTGCCTTGTGATAAGAGAGAATAAATGTTATTTTCTCTATATCACCAGATGTATGTCCACCCAATGACGTTTCTCAACATCACCATCCTGATCAGGGTCCTGTCATTCACTGTTTTAATAGCTGGTTTGTTTACAAAGATTATAATCTTGCCTTAATCATTTCCCCTGCCTCCTTGCAATATGTCCTTGTTTTCAATGCAAACCTATGCCCTTGCTAAGATCTATGTTCTTAAATTATTAGATCAAGGCAATTTCTGACACTGTCATTGAACGTAGGCCTAGTTGATTCGGGTCTCTGTCCTTGGTGCTTAAAACAGATAAAGCGCTAAAGGCACTCTCCATGGTGCTGCAGTGATTTTATGTGCTTTCTGTATGATGAAAAAGAAAAAAAAAACACCTTTTGCCTGGTTGGCTAATACCAGTGACCTGATTGGCTGGATATCTGAAAAGAGGAAGCGGCGACAGCCGACGTCATATAGCCAATGTAGACGTCATAACGCACAATTAAAACCTCCATCCACTTCATACAGCCGCGAGTATACCTTGTGTTGTCATAGATAAAAACAGTGTAATCGGAAAACAAAGTCAAATCGTCTTTGCCTCAGGGATAACCAAGGCCACGGACACGCCACAGCCCTTTGTGATGATTAGCTGACAATTGATATTCATTGCACGCGCTCTCCAGCTTCCTGAGCCACCAGTGCGGTTACCCTCTGACTAAATCCCTTCTACACAATCTCTACCGTTTTCAGAGATTCAAAGACATTGCATCGACTATACGTAATTGCATAAAGTTAATTTAACAGTGCAGCGATACCGAGCAAGCGTCTGGCACTGCTACAAATGGATCCTCTTTCTCTGCATCTGCGAAAATGCAACGATAATCTATGGTGCGATGCCATTGTGAGGCATCGCTTTAATTTCGTATATCACATCGTAGATCAATGCTAAACCCACCGCAAACGCACATTTGTTTGGGAGAAACTCTCAATTCACTGGCATTAGTACTAAAATGAAACAGTTGATTTATATCATCACCGAAAGTTTTTTTGTGTATTGACAACACAGGAAGAGAGACCAAAGTTTTATCTTGTAACATAATCTGTCTTAAATTGTAATAAAAAATATAAATGAGGTACTTTAAGTCACTCACCATCAGATCCGCAAAGTTAGGGTCCAGCTTTAGTGCAATAGTATCACAGTCGGTTCTGATGTGGCCATCTGGCGCGTGGCCCTTGTGCACGCGGAGAGAAACGGCATTCCGACAGGCGCTGAGGGGGGGTCATTCTCCAGCAGGAGAGGCTGCAGAACATCCGAGAAAACGCAGAAAACAAAGCGAGCATCACCATTCCATTCCTCGTTAAAAGTCAGCTCAGAATGGATGAACTTCAGTCATTTGCGGCGATTTCCATCGGGCACGTGCGCATTCGCCCTGACGTAAGTCTTTAGAAATATCACGTGAAACGTTAAAGCACAAGCATTAGAGAAATAGAACAGCACGACCTCTTCACAAGGTAGGCAGTGTAAAGATGGTTTTAAAACAGTCTTACTGCCATCTGAGAGCCCTCAGAACGGGTTAACACTCTCGTGTCTCCAAAATCGTAATCCTATGGCAAGCAAACAAAGCCAACACCCCTTACCTTATACCAAAATGGCACACCCAAGACTTAATCGGAAAATGTTTTTAAATGAACACAGGAGTGGGAATTCATGAGCTACCATATTTTGTGAATATCACTTACCGTATATAGGCTACTATCTAAACGTAACATTTACTGTATATATCCTTACCTACTTTAAAGAGAGCAACTGGTGTCGTACCCCATCTTTACGTCCCATTATCTGATAGACTTGACGAGCGTGAGCGCATGTAATATACTCCATCTCTAAAGGAAGACAAATATCAGGTCTTGTGATGTGAACCGAGAACCGAAGAACCGGTTCCATTTTTCAAATAAAATAGCGGAGCCAAATCATTTAGGCTACATGACGTTCGGGTCCGTTAATGGTTCTCGAATCTGCATTGTTCCTCCGATGCAGAAGGACCACCGTAGTGAAATACTCTGACAGTGTTTCCCGTACTACCATGCACCGCAACACCGCAACTGAATCTTTACAGCGTGAGACACACAGCGCGACCAGTGTTTAACGAATGACTCTTATGAGCCGGTTCTTATAGTCAGTCAAAAACATACAATACAAGATGCTTAGTCCGATTCTCGAGCAAATGACTCTCATGAGTCGGTTCTTTATTGAGAATCAAAACACTTTTGAATCATTGAGATGTTACTGAATTTATATGACTCACTTAATGAACTCCAAATTATTAGTTTCGTCATGTCCGACTCGAAATGAACTGTTAGTGTTATTGGACTTAAGGCTTGTGATAGGCTACTGACATCTTGTTCACGTTATGTTTTGTTGTAATCGGTAATTTGTAAAAACAAATGAATAAATTGAATGTTACCACATTTAGGATTCATTTGTTACCCCTAAAAAGTTTGTGAAAAGTAATTTCTTAGTATTTGTGAACAGGCCTTTTGCATTAATTGTATGGAATGTAATTTTGATTTATTGTAGTCTGTTGAAAATCTGTTGTTGGCCATGAATTCAGTTAGAAATCGATGTATTTTTCCCTCAAATATTTATTCATCAAAAGTACTTAAAGGGGTCATATTATGCTGCTAAAAAGAACATTATTTTGTGTATTTGGTGTAATGAAATGTGTTTATGCGGTTTAAAGTTTAAAAAACACGTTATTTTCCATTTGGGCGGCGTTATGCAAATCTTCCCACATAGTGATGTAGATATGTGGGGGCGTGTTAGAACGAGCCGTTTTAGGTACACTGTAAGCCTATACAGGTTGATTGAACTTAAAAAATGTATGGTAACTCGTTGCCCTAAAAAAGTTAATTTTGTCTTGTTGAGAAAACAATACATTTCAAGTTTAATGTATTTAAAAATATTTAGTTAATTGAACTAACCGTTTTTAATGCAATGCTGTTAAAATCTTAAGTACATTAAACTTGAAATTTATTGTTTTCTCAACAAGACAAAATTAACTTTTTTAGGGCAACGAGTTACCATACATTTTTAAGTTCAATCAACCTGTATAGGCTTAAAGGTATCCACAGCAGAAAACAGAGGTGAAATCTCGACCTGGATAAATGTTGTGACAGAACCCAAACATTTAATTAAAATTTAGCTATTTACTGTAAATTATTTAATTAAGATACACCTGCATTACAAACAAGGGCAAAGAATAACAAGGATTTATTTGAACTAACAATTTATTTGAATTCACTTAGCAGCAGTTTTCAAAGAGTGACAAAAAAATAAATTGTCTTAATTACCAATTACCCAATTTTAAATATTTAAAACAGTGTTTTAAAACATTTCCAAATATTAAACAAACAATGTATGTTATTTTACTCTATTAATATGGTACATGAACATTTGCCAAACACTAAGGCATAGTTTAAAGAACATCTGGAAAAGATTTTTATAACAATTCTGAAAGAGTAACTCCTTCTTACCCAAACCTAGCAGAACTTGTTGAATGAAAAGAAAGGTATTGCCCATGCACTTAGGGTAGTTTAGGTGCAGTGCATAAGTCAACCCAAACAAAAGACACATGGCCTGGGGTATGTTGTCTAAATTGTCCATTACAACATTCCCCTCCAAGATGATTCCCACTGAGGATGGGTGGAGGTGGAAGGACCGGGGTTGCAGGGCCTCATCTTCATTTTTTCGGCTAAGGATTCCAACGGACACATGTTGGTATGAGTCTGCGTCATCAGAAGCCTGGACAAGAATATGGAAATTACTCAAATAAATTTGAGCAGTGAACAGTTTTTTCTAGATATACATTTTATTGAATGCTTTTGTTTAGTTGTATGCAAGCATAATTGTTTGTGAATTATGTACACAAATGTATCCAAGAGTTCAGTAATATTGAAATATTAAATTTATATGTTTGCTTTTGTATACAAGTCATTGCATATGACATGAACTACTGATTACATTAAAAATATGTAAAGTTATGAGATTATCCTGGATTGTAATTTAAAGTTTCAAAGGTGTCATAACATGAATTCAAATTTCTCCTGAATTAATTAAAATTAAAACCTCCTCCTCACTCCTTATTTCCTTTATCATTTAACTAAAATATGACATTGTGCTTGGTGATTTCTTTATTGTTTTTGCTAACATAAATGCACATTAAGAAAATCATACAATAAAACTATGAAAGTAAAAATGTATTAATAATACTTACAAAGCATGGCTTTGAAGAACTCAGTTGGGTCATCACCAAGAAGTACGGGAGGCCCTCTAATCGCAACACATCGCATGTCAGCGAGGTCAGAGGTCTGGTGTGTGGTGGTTGCAGAGAGCTGACACATAGAGCACTGTTCCTTTAACACTTCTACCAAGATGCTCAATGTAAACCCCATGTTGTTCAAGAGTGGCTAAATCACTAAGAAGTGGATACAGAACTCTTTCATAACCACACTTTTTAACTGTTTCACTCTCGCACAAGAGAGCAAGCTGAATTGAGTTTAGTGTGGATCTGTATTTTCCATGGAAGTTTGCAATAACCCAGTAAAGTGCACACATCTTATGTTTTCTTTTAGATGTTCCTAAAGGGTTAGCCACTTTAAAATCATCAATGTACAGACCCAGAGCGATTGTGAAGTCTTCGCAACTAAGAAGGGCATTCTCTCTAAACCCTGAGCCATCGCAACATGTCCTATATTCATGTGGTTTATGTTCTTGTTTTGACATAGCCTTATCCAAAATGTCTTTCTTGTTCAATAGTTTCTGTAGCATCTGTAAGAGGGGAACGTATACTACTGTTTTTCTCCCTTTCTCAACTACAAACTCTATAGGCATTACCAGAGGAAAGTTGCGCATTACATACAATGCTCTTCTTTTACTGGTTGCAAGACATCCATTTTTTCTACAAGATTTGGACAATATGTCACTCTCTGCCACAGTCTTAACCACCTCCTTCACAACTGACTCATCTACATGTCCAAAGTGTTTCTGAAGAACAGCCTTCACATTCTTTTGCAAAAGCGGCTGGGACAACTGAACTATTTGGTAAAGATGTTGAATTACTTCCTGAACAGAGTTCTCTGGTATGTGAAGGATGGTTTGCATTTTTAAAAAAAGAGCAGCTAAATTATGTTCCAATTGTTGTCCTAAATCTTGAGATTGTGTTTCACTTTCTTCTGCACTAAAATGATCTTGGCCCAATTAATCTGGATGCATCTCCTGCACAGCACACTCCTGAGTGTCAATTACACTGTCATTTTCATTACTCTCTATTCTTACTATTAACTCTGGTTTAAACATTCTCTCATTTTGATCTTGATGATGCTTACTTCTGTGTGCACTGAATGTGCAACATACACTGCTTTCAAAGCTACATCCTTGAAATGGACATTGGACTTTTTGGTGGTCTTTGAGATGTCTACGCCGAAGGTGGGCAAAATATTCAGTAATCTCACAGGGTTCAATTAAATCACAAAGCTGACAGGGAAACTTGGCTTCAATTTTCCCCTCATGTTGTTTTTTTTCAGTTGATGTATGAAAACGAGATAAGTGTGTTTTAAAGCTACTGAAAGACTTAAAAGTACATAAACATTCCTGATATAGGCATGGAAATGGTTGGCTTCTTACATAGCTCCCATGTTTAATTCTGTAATGTTTTAACAAGTATCCCCTTTTGTCACAAGCAAATATGCAATACTTACATTTCCAGATCATCTTGATTAGTCTTGTTTTGAACTTCTTGGAATCTGCAGTTACAAAAATCCACATTAGACTGTTTTTTTTACTAGCTGACAAGGCAAATTTACATATTTTGATCACTGATCTACAAATCTTCTATAAACAGCTAGCCAAAAGAATTAAAGTACTATCTAGCTTTTTTTTATCTAGCATGTCATCGTACAATAGAATCGTATTAACTGAAATGTAGCTTAGCTAATACCACGCTGATGAGCACGAGGTTGCATTTATTTGATAACTAAGATAGCTAACTAACTTGGATTAGTATTTCTCGCATGTAAAAACAGGGTCGAGTTTCAAGTTAAGCTAGTTTGTTTAATACTTCACTCACAAAGAAATGAAAAAAAAAACTAATCGGTCAGTGATAAAGTTTCGCTGTATTTGTGTTAAAGTCACATTTTGAACATTTCTGATAAGAAAAACCACCAAGATTCACCAACACCATCGAACAAGATATATCGTTTTACACAACAGATGACGCTTTGTTTAATGATTTGTAAATGATTGTTGATCAAAAATATGATAAGCATTAGATTTTAGATGTGACGATAGAGCATGTTGTAACACAGTTATATGAACGTTATATGTAATTGTGGCGGTTGCGATCGATCGGTACAACACTGTGGTGTAAATTTACATGTAAACACAGCCTAAACTTACATTTAGAGTTACTAGCTAACTGTTATACCTCTCATTTATTAACGACTATTAATGTACAGGTGCATCTCAATAAATTAGAATGTCGTGGAAAAGTTCATTTATTTCAGTAATTCAACTCAAATTGTGAAACTTGTGTATTAAATAAATTCAATGCACACAGACTGAAGTAGTTTAAGTCTTTGGTTCTTTTAATTGTGATGATTTTGGCTCACATTTCACAAAATCCCACCAATTCACTATCTCAACAAATTAGAATACTTCATAAGACCAATAAAAAAACATTTTTAGTGAATTGTTGGCCTTCTGGAAAGTATGTTCATTTACTGTACATGTACTCAATACTTGGTTGGGCCTCCTTTTGCATGAATTACTGCCTCAATTCGGCGTGGCATGGAGACAATCAGCCTGTGGCACTGCTCAGGTGTAATGGAAGCCCAGGTTGCTTTGATAGCGGCCTTCAG